GTGTGTATGTATGCATGTGTGTGTGTGTGCGTATAGATAGATATAAATATATGTGTGTGTCTGTGTATGTTTGCATGTCTGTGTGTGCGTATGTATATATATATATATATATACATACATATATATATATAAATATATGCATGTATGTGTGTTTGAATATATATATAATATACATCCATGCATACATGAATACATACATACATATATACATACATACACACACACATATATATCACATTGTAAAATGCCTGTCGCTTGTGCTGTTTTGAAAAAACCCTCATGTACAGACCTGATCCACTCCGTCAGATTGTTCACACGATCCACCAACTCATCATGGTATTGGTTTGGGTCGCCGGTGGCGTGTGCTGGATTGATATTAGAGCCGGTGCTCTGCACAGAAGACATATTGGGGATGACTGAGGCAGAGCTTTCACGCAAGGTTACACTCACGCCAACATTACTGTCAGTTATTTTACTGTCGGTGATTTTACTATCAGCAATTTGCACCTTACTCCTTGTGTTCTTTGCTGGAGTAGGAGTGCGGAACATTGTAGTATACATAGTGAGTGGAGCACAAATCAAACTAAGGTGTGGATATACTTGTCGCGCAGGATCCTTGATAGTGGGTTTTTATACCATAATTGCTTTGTAGAGTGCGAAGTGTAATTAATACGGACTGGAAATGGTACTATTTAGATACACCTTGAATAGGCTCAATCCTTTATAATCTGAAGAAAAAGCCGTGTTGTGCTATTATGGACCAGAAGTCCAGGACTGTCAGTCTGTCACTGAACTGGTGTCGCAAACCAAATAAATGTCTAAAATATAAAAGTGTATTTGACATCTCAGCGAAAATTCCGGACCGCGAGTCCTCGATTCTCTGTTTTAAAAAATGTAAATATTTATTTCTATTTATTTTGCATATAAATTTATGCATAGTGCTCTGTGCAGTGTGCACTGAAAAGCGATTGTAAATATTTACATAAGCATTTATGTAAATAGTTTGAAACTTCGCAACTCTACTGTGAGAATGAAAGTAGTTGTTTCAAAGTATACATACAAAATGTAGCGAAATAATTCATATGTTGATTTTTAAAACATTACCATCAACCACCTGGCATGTGTTGCATCTTTGGGGCACGACCAAACATCTGTGTATCTTATTATTCAATGTGCCTGCCTTTCCGTTAAATGTTGCTGAATCATCGTTTTCAATATAATGTCCATATACATTTAATACCGAGGAAAAAAAGATCAATTCGAAGCTTGGGGTTTAAATATATAGTTGTGGTCTTAAAAAAAATAAAAAGGAAACCTAGAGATACGGATATCACCATAAAGGATCTGTTCAGGTCTGTGTATACTCACACGGGTATCCTGCACGCAGAATCGAACTTGCGCGTGGAGAAGCACAGAATACAAGTCTAGCGCAACACCAATCGAATTGATCTCAGAAAGGGTATTTTTTTTATAACCGTACATCAATAAATATTTATAATAGGACATACAATAAACATTGAGTTTTCATTTTTACAATATTTAATGTTGCCTTTCGGAATGAAGACTTTGCCACATAAATACTACTAGTTTGGATTTTGGGCGCATCCAGTATCGCCTGTGATTAGTTCAAGCAGTTTCTAGCTGCACGTACGCCCTATTCTAAAAGAAGTGTGCGTGCAGTGTGATACAAGAACTCACCATCAACGTCGGCATAACTAGGCCGCTCACGCCAAATTAGCAACTTGCAATTTCACGCATCTGCAACGCTCGCCCCATATTATATAACCAAGTGGAAAAATGCGGAAACAGCAAGTTACAAGGACACAGTAATGCTGCCATATGTACGCGCTTTAATTCTAGCTTTCTCAGCCGCTGATTCGAACCATCGCACACAAGACTTCCATTCCATAGCGGCTGCAATCTCATCAGGTTCGGCATCAAATTCCTTGAGCGCATTATATTAGACGTCCGATGTTTTCATATTTATTTGAATTGACCCTCGCTGTAAGCTCTCCTTCCCAGAGAGAAAGCAAGTGCGGATTTTTTCTTCTTCGGGAGTAAGTGCTGGCCGCGTCTGTAGAGCTTTGACCGGAAGGTATTTGTACTATTTATTGTAGTAGTCGAGGGAGGTAAAGATATGTCAGTCGGGGTTAAACTTGTTTTAAGACACAGGCATTTATAAGCCCGTGTATGACGATGCGTGTAGTATGTACTGGCGTGGAATGTGTACGCAATGTAAGTATGCTTCATATGCCGATTCCATTGTTATTTTTGATACATGTAGTCCTAGAAGTGTGTCCATTGCGGTTGATCTAATAATAGCTCCTGAAGGTGCAGCCCTATCGGTAGTCGCAATCGACGCTGAAGAAGACGTATATTTATGGTCATATAACACAGGCATACGGCTTTGATGAGATACATAGGTTCTCAATGCAGATCGTGAACTGAAAGACGTGAAAGAGAGAACCATCCCAGGTGATAATAAAGAAGTCAACGAGTCTGGTTGGAGACTTCGCCCTGATGTTGTGGTTTGTGTAGCTGGGCCGTACGGCACCACCCTATCCATATACTTTTTGAAGCTACGATATTTACGTTCGGCCCGTAACGAGTGTATTCTTATCTAAGCAGGAAGACAGGGCATCCGTGGCATCGGTGTGCATACCGTGAAGAGAGGCAAGAACAAGTATAGCATATCAATATTATTTGTTCAATAATAGTGATATTGTAACATATACATAGCAAGTGCATTAGGAAGGTGAGTGCGACATCCGCAGTTCTTCTAGACGTATTGCTCCTTACGGGTGATACAGTGTTGTGAAGTTCGATTTGCTTCCTTTGCACACAAACGAATAAAAAGGTTCGGCTTGACTTTTGGTATCTGGATGTAGTTTCTTTGCGTCGAATCGGGATCCCCTGGATCCGATTGCGTTCGCGACTACGATATCTGTCCCTTTAATATATCGAGCTCGAACGTGTATACCGGCATATTGAATTTCTATCATGGCGAGCAATTTCAGCGAAGTGGCTCTTCCACAGCATCGTATTGTGTGCGAGTGAGGACTTGGAAAGCAACCGTGTTATTGGAGTGTATCAAACACCCCACACACGTTTTTAGGAGTCCAAGAGCATTGATGTAAAATCGTGTATCACAACAAATTGATCCTACTGTGATGTGCAATTTATATAAAGCCACCGGCCTTTCACATCTATACCTCCACCTCCACCTCCTGCGCCCATACATATACATACGTATTAATGGATAGAACAGCAAGCGAATATGTATCATGGTATAAAACACTACCCCACGGTATTCTGCTGATGTATCTGCAGTCACAATTTTAAAACGTGCAACGGAAGCACTCAGTTGTTCGAAAACCGATTAAAGACTTGCCACTTCTGCGGCTCCTGCTGACTGGGGAGTTGGTTTGTCTGGCCTGGTATAAGACAGCGCATTTCGTTATGACGACGTGTCGAGACCGTTGGAAACTCGATTGCTACCCTGACACATCCAGGCGACATATATTTTATTACATTCAATTTAGAAGGATATATGATGTGAATTGTGATGGAGGAGCGAATCCGAGACCAAATGGAAGAATAAACATATATATGTACGGAGACCTGCTCTGTCGCTGTTCACATGAGAACCGAGATAATTAGAAATTGCAGTTAGGCGCTAAATACAAAGATTCAAACTACAGTGGTATGATCTTAACATCTGTCCCTTTATGCATAGACGTCATAGAGCTGTGTTTTCTGTGACTTTGCTGTATATGTCTGAACAAGAACATTCAGAACTATGATATGCTTGCGTGTCTGTGCGTGTGTGGGCTGTGGAGTCTGTGGACCCAATGTCGTATTCTATTTATCTTCTACTCGTATTAAATCGTGGCGGTAGCACGGTAAATACATCTTCGACGTCCGTTTGTCGTGGATTAAAAAATTGTTCCCACAGAATAAATACCCTCGCTCTAGTAGCGTTTTTAGTTATTATGTAGGGATTTAAAAAAGTATTTTACAACCCGTAGATATTTGTTTTTGTTTTTAAAAACAAAAGAGAAAAGAGCAAGAGAGGAATCCCTTGTACATAAAGGAATAACTGATATTGTTGGTGCAGACTGCAGTCGGAACTCGGATAAATATTTATATTTAGATCACCCTATTTACTTGCTTGGTCCTTTACTTTTTTATACTTTTCTGTCAAAAATTAGAATTTTCAAAAACAAAATATCCAGTGTGATTAGAATTTAGGATTGTGTAAAGGAAGCCATTGCCGTATAAAATAAAATATATTTCGGCCATTTTTTGAGGCCAATATTTGGATTGTTGACAGTCGGCGGCTAAAAAATTGAAACACGCTGCTGCTATGTAAATTCAAACCACAAAAGTGTTCACAAACACCACAAAATGAAGAAGCGAAAGAAAACACTTCAACGACTATCAACAGAGTTATACGCAGCAGGGATTGTCGAAGAGAAAGCACTCTTTACTGATGCGGCTGCGAAGCCTGAACAGATTTATGTCGTGGGTTTGACGCAGGGGGAACACGGACGTCACATAAAAGTAAGAGTTTGAGATATACTGACAACTGCAGTAAACTTGTTCGTTTGTCTGTCGCGTAGGCTATGTCACTTCACCTGACCACCACTCAAGTGCCTTGAACTGTCCGACATGCTTGTCGCAACAGAAAATGACCAATACAAGTGTGCACACAACATATAGTATAGTAACAATACCGGCTACTTGTCAAAGTAGTGTTTTCTAACTTTCGGAGTGACAACACATGTTAATGGGGACTATTGGATAATTGTCAGGTATTTTGAGGTATTCAATTGTGCCATAATCAACCCTAAAAGTGTCTCATATCGACCCAAATAGTGTATAAAACAGCATATCGAAAACGGTCAATTTTTGAGACTTTTGGTTTTGGTGGAGCTCGAACCAACCATTTTTTCGAAAAAGTATCCGGGTGATTTTCAAGAGCAGGTCAGTAAATACAAGCCGTTCAGCGTTTCCGCTATCTATTCTGCTCAGTCCTCGTTAGGGTCACGCCATGCTTGCCCAAGTCCGGGTTTGAAGTAACTAGGAAGGTAATTCTATATCCGACTGCACCATAGAATTTGTCCTATTTACAATTTACATTCACCATGTCAAATTGTCAATCAGGTCAATCACTTGAATCCTGGATCAGTCAAGCGATCTAAGGACAGTCCGATATTTTTTTAGTGATAAATACATTTGTAAAAATCTGTTTCTCACCATTTAGACGTGTCGCAATGAATGCGACGTGTCGTTTTAGAAAACAACACTGATATTAATGCGACGTGTCGTTGTCGCATTGGTCGCAATGGTCATATTTGATCATTTCGACAGACCCCATTCTCGTTTTTTAGTGACCAATCATATGTTCCTAATCCTCACATTTTACATCGATTCAATGATATTCCCGTATATTAAAGACAGTTAATCGGATCACATTTGCGTTTTCGACCGCCTTTATTTGTTGGGCGGGCTAGTAACGAGTTTCAGTTGCTACTTGGCCTTGCTGACATCCTGACAATAAGTATTTAGAAACTAGTAACTACTATCTTAGTATTTTTAGTATATCAATAAACTGTATATGTGTGTAGCTATGCGGTGTGACTATGTTATAGTTATCAAGTATATAGCACGGTCTATTATAGTATCACTACGTCAGTGTTACTTCACCTTTAACATCAGATACAACGACAAAACAGTCGTGCCCTTCTGCCAGTTACTTCAAGGACAAACCTGGATTGGGCATAGTCACCAAAAGACAAAAGTACCAACCGTCACATCACAAAAATTGACATCGCTACTGTCTCCAAAAACTTAAAAAGTACTAACCGTCACACCATAGCTGTCAACCGACATGCCGCTTTCATCTGCGACACGTCGCTTATGAATGCGACACATGTCGTTTGTGAATGCGACATGTCGTTTACATAAACGACCAGTTTCGATGCGACACGTCGTTTTGATAAACGACACCAATTTCATTGCGAGGTGTCGTTGTCGCATACCAGATCAGTTTATGTGATAATCTGACATTTCTTAATTTCGTATATATATGTATGCTGTTTTGTTGATTGGATAAAAATATAAAAATATAAAAACAAATTATTATTAAAAAATTACAGAGAACGTAGTTACTAACTTACTAGTTAAATACGTAGAGAAGACTCAGAACTCAGAAGAGTTGACTATGTAGTATGTGCATAGTACATGTGTACATACATACAGGTCTTGAGTTAAAGTTCTTATCAGTTCTGACTTCTGACTTGAGACTTCTGAGACATTGAGAGTTGAGAGTTGAGACTGAGAGTCAGAGCCGAGTCCGGAGTCACATATCATAATTCCATATGTCAGATCTGAGATCTGAGATCGGCGACCGGCTACGCAAGGCGCAGAGGCGCAGACGAGTGACGACTCTTCAGTCTTCACTCTTGCGACTTGCATCCCAGACCTCTGATGATCTCCCCAGTCTCTCAAAGATGTCTCAAACTCTCAGAGTCTCAGAGACTACTAGAGAGTAGAGACTAGGCAGTATTCAGTCATCAGTGTCCACTGTCCTGTGAGTGTGAGAGAAAAATTGGAAGAGTAGCCAAGGAGTATTTAATTACTCGAAGTGTATTGAGGTTTCACTTTTGACTTTTCAGCCTTTCAAGTTTCAGCCTTTCAGGTTTTTAGTTTTACATATTTACATGTGTGATACTGAATACATACATACATATTGATTATTTTTTGCTTGGTTTAAAAAAAAGAAAAAGAAAAAATAGATAAAGAATAGTATGTAGATAAATAAATATTTTTTACAAAAATTCGGCGTAGACTGGAAACCGGATACCGGGATACGGCAATGGGCGCATAGCCTATAGGCTCTTAGGAGTATGGACATAAGGTATCACATCATATCAATACTACGCACCGAACCATATTTCCCAACAAAACTGGAGAGAAAAAGTGTTATTATTCTCTTCTCGTTCTTATAAGAATCAGCAAGATACATATGTTTGAGATACCACGATGCTGACACCAATACTTATAAGATCGATGCGGCAATAAGTTGTTTTATTACAACGCGGCCAAGTACTCTATATCCTATTAACCGGTGAAATACGACTTTATACAATGGGTTCCCATGCTAGCAAAAGCCATCGGCAGGAAGCCTGTATCGCAGCAGATCCTAGTATTGGATTACAGAAAAACAGCAGAATCCATAAAGGATCGATGAAGCTACGAGATCAACTGAACTGGGGTACCGACAACTTGACTAAGAAACAGAGACGGAGTCAGCTTGAGCAAGTCATGGGCGAACATCTAGAGCACGCTCGTGTTCAAGTATCTCGCGAACCAGTCAGATATCTTGAAAAAAGCACAAGCGCTGAAGATTTCGACAAAGCATCCGTCCCTCCTTTGGTTGAGCAAATGGCGAAGGCTATGAAGCTGTCACCGGCACCACTGAGAAGGAATTCAACACCTCAACAGGAGTATGTGCGAAGACTATCGACTTTTCAGGAAGATGATCAGGTCGTCGAGGCTTTGGATGGCTTGATTAGTATAGGGCAGCAGATACAGGACTGTATAACTGTGCTGAATTACATGACAATTTGTTACGGGGCCGTGGGGGTGAGTGTGGAGCTTTTCTCAAAGATCGATCGAATGCTCCGCGCCTTCAGTCAGTACTGGCAAAAAACGAACTGGCGGGATTTGTTTGACAACCCGGAATGTTACGTACAGGGGTTATCAAGTACTATTTATAGTGTTGCTGCTGCGATAGCGCGCTTAGAAATATTATTTAAGTACGAAATCGAATGCTGTAGTAAAATAGATCCCAGTGTGCCTTTTCCTAAACCTAGTTACGCTTTACAGTTTATTTTAAGCGAAAATGGCACACAGGGGCCAGGTGCCGATCGACACAGTGAATATTTGAACGAATCAGGTACCTTAGAAGCTAGTAAGACGTCGCTATACACGGATGAGGAGCTACCACATCTAGAATATAGTCTGGGGAAATGTTTTAGAGCACTTACCGAAGCACATTGTAAGCTTAAAAACACGACGAAAGGAAATATATTGGCGACACCAGAATTATTTCATATGACAAGGGTGTGATAGCCTCCGCGACCTGAACACAAGAAGTTTTAAAATATACATAATCCCAAAAAGTCATGTATTAGAGAACATGTCCTATAAAAAACAAAAAACAAAACAAAAAGAACAAGGTGAAAGTAAGGCATATTTACAAGAAGCATTCGGAAGCCGAGCAAGAATTACTGAGCGTGTCGGTTTATACCATTCGGTAGCTTAACCAGATCACTCGATGTACTATGTTCTTAAGTTTGTTGACTTTTCTTTTGTTGTTGAAACTGCTTGAGAATTTCCTCCTCCCTTTGTCGTTGCTCAAACTCGGCACGCTCGTCCACATCAGTGAAATCTTCTTGTTTGATTGCGTACATTGAATAAAAGTAGACACCGGTGACAAACGCAAATAAACCGCCGCCGATGAGTACGTTTCCTCGGATGTATCTTCTGCGAGCAGCAATAGCATACCAGGCAGCCCCTTGCCCGTCTATGTTTTGGGAATTTGTAGCGAAAAAAATTAACATATGCTATTATATACGAATAAGGTGTCTATCTGTGAGCAGGTATATAAAAAATTCAACTAGAAGAGACCACCGAAATCAAACTGTTAAATTCAGAAAAAAGTTTGTAAGGATGATTTTGTCATACAGTTCATGATATTTCCTAAACAAGGGAGAAACAACTTCAATATCAAATTAAAGATGATGATGAACATACCGACACACGTCTTACAAAAACGGATGCACATTCACATGCATATGGACGCAGACGCAAAACCTCATGTATAGATACACACACACACACACACACATATATATATATATACATATATATACATATGTATATATATATGTAAGAAAGCATATATACATATACAAATACACGAATACGTAAATACATACACACACACAGACACAAACACATACACAAACACACACATATATATATGCATTCTATATATATAAATATCAATAAATAAATCCATAAAATATACAGATATAGATTATATATAATATAGCAATATAATAACATATACATACGGATATACACAAACATATACAATAACACTAATATATATATACACACAAATAAACATACCTACATACATATGTATAAACATATACATATACTATATATGTATATGTACATACACAAACACACATATATATACAAATATATATATATATATAGACATACAAACATACATACATACATAAATAAAAAAATATATACATATATATATGTATATATATACATGTATACATGTATACATATATACGTATATATATATATTGGATTGTTTGTTTACAAATATTCATAAATTCCTATATATATATATATATGAATACATATATAATATTATATATAAATATTTGTAGGTATATCCATGAATATATATATCCATATATTTATATATATATGCATATCTATCTATCTATATATATATATATACGCTTAAACATATTAACATACATTCATACAATATATATATATATATCGTATATATACATGAATATATAAGTATATACATGTGCACAAACACACACACACACACATATATATATACATACATACATATATATATATATATATATATTGCATATATGTATGTTAGTATGGTAGTATGTGAGAGTATAAGGATATATATATATATATATATATATACATATACATATATATATATACTACGCTTACACATACTAACTTACATTCATACAATATATAAATATATATCGTATATATACATAAATACATATATAATATATATATATATACATATATATGTACGTATATATGTTTACATATATAAATATTAAATGTATCAATATATATATAGATATTGTATATATACGTATATATATATATATATACACACACACACACACACATATATAAATATATATATATATATTACATATAAATTTACACGCACATACACGCACTCTCTCTCTCTCACACACACATATATATATTCATATAAGTATATGTATGTGCAACAATATATATATATATATATAGATGCAGATATACATATACACGTATGTGTTTAAATCATACACGCACAGCCACACACAGCCACATACACATACAATGAATGAGACACAAACACAGACACAGACACACATATAATTTT